ATTGCGGAGAAGAAAGTTTACATATTGTCAGGTTCTAGAATTTTATTATTTTGTGCGATCGTTAAATTCGTCGGTTTTATTATATATATATATATATATATATATATATATATATATCTTACATATAAAATTCTTCTGTACGGGTGTATGATTTGATACTTCTCCTAAGCGGTTATTCGGATTCTGATAACTCTTTTTAGAGTTTGTCAAAGGAAATTTTTAAGGTTTAATGAACCTTAAAACTATAGTAATATTGTAGAAATAAATGGCAAAAATTACAAAAAACCACTTATCATTGTTTGACATTGAAAACATTTGAACTGTCATCTGCTAGAAATGCAAATTCACTTGAAATTTGAATTTAGTTTAAATTATGATCCTAGATAATATTAGAATATAATATACAAGAAAAATGTAATATCTACATTATTATTGCCGAAAAACTGAGCTGAGCTAGCTGAGATGTACCAGAAATTAAAATAATAGAAGATACAGTCAATAGTATATGTTTGGCAGATGAAATTATATTATTCAGTTTAATAAATAACGCAACAAGTCCAAAATTGCATATACATTATTTTTTTAAACTGATGCATGTCGCAGTTTGGTTTACTTTACTAAATTATTTAAAAATACAAAAAAATATTTCTACTTATTAAAAAAATGATTTAGCATTTTGTTTGATGTGTCAAAAATTCATTTGTTTGGCATTTGATATAGAATATTCAGTAAGTTGATCTTAGATTGAATAGTGCACATATGAACTAGATTTTATAAATTAATTCACCTAATTTTCACCCACGTACCTGGTGCCATACATATACTGTATCTTATATTATTTTAATTTTTGGCACATCTCAGCTGCTTTTTGCCAATAATAATGTAGACATTTCATTTTTCTTATTCATAATCATGAATTTATTATACATATTCTAATATTGTCTAGGCTCATAAGTTAATTGAAATGTTTTAGCAGATGGCAGTTTTCATTTGTTCTCAATGCCAAACAATGTTCAAATAATTTCATTGTCAAACAATGACATGCCGTTTTTGCATTTTTTTTTTCATTTATTTATACAATATTACTATATTTTTATAATCTCATACATCCTAAAAAATTCGCTTGGCAAACTTCAGAAAGATTTATCAATATCCGAATAATCGTTTAGGAGAAGTATATTTACATACATTATTGCAGAAGAATTTTATATATAAGATATATAAATTACATAAACGAAATGAACTTTGAACAAAGCAATGTAAAAGACACTGAACTTCTTTGCTAATTAAATATACATGCTAATTATCTTGCGAGTGTTTGCGATTGTAATTTTATATATATATACTAGCTGACCCGGCAAACGTTGTTTTGCTAAGTAAGGTATATTCTAAACAATTTCTAGAGAATCAAAAATATTAATACTTCAAAGTGTATAACGATGTGTTGTTTGAACGCTATATACAATGCTGTATTATAAAAACAATAAATCCATTAGTTTGTCTATATTTTGTCAATACAATCAAACTGGAAGTTTTATACACTTTCTATAGAAAACATGGTATGATCCAATCCAAGTATTTTTTTGGTATTTCGACTTATTGATTACGTTTTAAGCTTTTCAGATTCTTTTGGATTCTGGATTTTGTGTATAATTGTAAATACTACTACTGAGCTTATACAAATTTTTCAAAATTCTGCGAGGAGAGATAGAAAATAAATTAGATATATCTGCTTTGACCTGCTTTTTGAAAAGTTTCAAGTAACATACCTTGAATTAAAGTAAATTTAATAAAAAGTATATACGTAGAGCAGGGCAAGGCTTAAAGGTCCAATTTGAGTTTGAGCAAATATAAATTTTATTATGAAAATGAAACCAATTTCATCACAACAAATGACAAATTTCAAACGAACAATTAGCTGACTACGTTCAGTAAAACTACAGACTTCGTCATTGTAAAAATGTGCTTTTTTTGCTGTCTTTCAAAAATTTGTTATCTAGAGCTTTTTACCCTATAGGCGGGGTAACTTGGAACGGCCAGATGGCAAACAGGTTTAATGTCTTATTTTAATTTTAAAGGTATTTTACAAAATAATTACATTTTTAACTAATGCTAAAAAACTACCAACAGAAGAAAATACTTTCACTATGGATTTTCAAAGATGACCGTTTATCTCCCAATATCAAAGTCATAAGAATCAAGGTTATATCTGGTTATACATCTTTCTCCCTTCACTTTCAAATATTGTTGTTAAACAATGCTTCAGCTTTACTGGTTTTTGACACTTTGGTCGTGAAACTTTTAACCCCGTACCTTCATATATTACTAATCATTCTTTGATAAATTCTGGGAAATTATAACTGGGAATAAGTTATTCGACAAAATGTACATGTAAATGTAAGTAATGCTCTTTTTCAGTCTTGGTCGCGGCATTATTATTAAACTTCACTTCACCTTATATATATATATATATATATATATATATAGTATCATAGATTGAATAAACTACATGGATAGTTTATAAATAATTAATTCTGAATTAGAATGAAAAACGGGCTCTAAACTACCTCTCTGCCACCAATTACTGAGCCACAGCAACGCGTGGCCGGGCTAGCTAGTATTTTTTTATATATATAAATATACTATCAATTAAACTGAAAATCGGGATAAAAAGTATCCTAAGTCCTTCTCCTGGCTCTAAACTACCTCCCTGCCAATTTTCATCTAAATCGGTTCAGCCGTTCGTGAGTTATAAGTGTTCTAACTTAAGCGATTTTCTTTTATATATATAGATTGAAATTTTTTGCAGATGACAGTTTTCATTTGTTTTCAATGCCAAACAATGTCTCAAATAATTTCAATGTCAAACAATGACACGTCCTTTTTTGCAATTTTTTTCCGTTTATTTCTACAATATTACTATATTTTTAAAATCTCATGCATCCTGAAAAATTCGCTTGGCAAACTTTAAAAAGATTTATCAAAATCCGAATAATCGTTTAGGAGGAGTATATTTACATACATCATTGCAGAAGAATTTTATATATAAGATGATATATGAATTACATAAACGAAATGAACTTTGAACAAAGCAATGTAAAAGACACTGAACTTCTTTGCTAATTAAATATACATGCTAATTATCTTAGAGAGTGTTAATTATTGCGATTATAACTTTATTTATATATATATATATATATATATATATATACTAGCCGACCCAGCCGTGCGTTGCTTACACCTATTGTTATTATTATAAATATGCCAGTGAGAATATCTCAATAAATGTTTAAGATTTTTGCAATACGAATGTTTAAAATTCCCGAAGAATGTGAATAATTTCGATATGTTTTCGGACGTCATTCGATATAGACTGTGCGAATTTTCGATTCGATTCTGTTTGAAATTCTTTTCGAAAATTATACAAACATTATTAGAAATGATAATAATTGATGGAACCTAGTAATTTATAATGTTATACATATTTTGCGAATTTTTCTAGGTATGATGATCTATATTTTGGAAATTATTGTTGTAGTTATATAAAACTATGTTTTAGTAATTATAATATTTTTTTTTAAATTAAATTTGGAAGTTTTTCTGAGTTTACAATAGATGTGATGAAATTTAAAGCATTTTATGTTTATTCAAAATATCTAATTAATAAATATATATTATCAATTCGAATGTGTTCCATATAATAAATTGATAACAGTGACTTTCAAGCGTCATCTGGCAAAAATGTTTTCGATATATATCACATTATATATATATATATATATATATATATATATACAAGCAAACCCGACGAAGAGATGAAGAAATTTCTTGTTTGTTTTATATTTGAAAAGGAAAAATTTGATTTTTTTACACAACAGTAATGAATTTATTTCGATTACAAAAATGAAGTGTTTTTTAGTTGAACTTCTCTAAGTAAATGAAAGTGAATCCGCAATTATCCGTTTCATTGAAGTGCCCTTTGATAAACCACATTTTTTGTTTTTTGGTCTGACGTGAAGAGGCGACGTATAACTGCCCATGGGAAAAACAATGATTTTCTAAATAATCTATTTGAAATTTATCTCGCAAACACTTAAGCGATTGGCCTTGAGACTTGTTATTGCGAACGCAAGGCGAACTGGAAATTGTAATCGTCGGAAGACCAGTCGGAATCATTGGTATGTCACCAAATCGCCAGCAATTTTGATTGAATGGTGAAATTCAGTGTGTGTACATCATATTTCTTCAAAAATTCCAATTTTTTAAATATCCTATACTGATATTTACCAATTATTTAATAATTATTATGTTTTTTACACTACACTCTATACCGAAATGTATATACATCCACCCATATGGATCTTAAATGTACAATTGCTTTAAATAAAATGATGAGTATTTGCATTATATAGTATATTGTATTATAAATATTATAAAACATTTTTTCTTATAATTAGTTCTTTTTATCGATATCCGATGTTATTTTGAAAAAAAAAATTACACCACTGAGAGGGATGTCATCCCCCCGGGAAATGGCAAAGGAGTCTAAATTATTTTCACTTTTGAACTTGAGAGTAAAATAAACCTAATTTCAAAATTTCATGCAAATTGGAGCACAGTAAAAAAATTCAGACCCAAAACGCCCCATTGACTTGAGTAAATATTCCGTATCCGATGGCAAAAATAATAAAATAGTAACGTTTGTATGTGAAAAAGGAAAGGGCTGTTTTTAGGGTCTTCACGGCAATTATTCGATTTTTTCTCGCCGTAAGAACCATCCTTGGACTTCAACGAACATTTTAAAAAAAGAATTATTCAAATTGTTTCAGGCGTTGTTGAGTTATACGCTTACCAGCACATTTTGCGATTCATTTTTATAATATAGATATATTTTTCAGCTAAAATATCCATTCAAACTCCTCTTATATTTGTATCATTTACAAATAATTCTAAATTTCTGCATCTATTACAATTACTAATAATATTTTCTTCTTTTCCAGATAAAATGCCTCCAGATACATCAGGATGTAGTGATACCACCTTCAAATTCTCCTTCGAGATTTGCTTATAGCACACTAAAGGCGCAGATGTTGACGATAATTTTAATAAATAGTAGATTTTAAATATTTTTTCTATAAAAAGCAACTGAAAGTTTTGTAAAAATGGGCAACAGGTGCTGCAAGAAGAGCAACGAGAGGCCATCCGATCGGCCCTTGGGTAAGTGGAAATAAATATTAATTTTATTAAATTCTCAGGCAAAATAGAAATGTTATGTTACGGGTGTATCTTCGTATGAGTTGTTCGTATCGAACTGTCCAAAAGCTATATAAATATTTGTTGTGCGATCATGCGTTTTACACATAAAACCTAACTTCACCTATGTGTTCACAATCAATGAGGCATCAGAAAGTTGCAACTATGAATAAAATGTTACTTGCGTTTGTATACATTTTTGATAGATTTATTTCTTGAAGTAAAACTTCTCTATGCGCGACTAGAGTGTAAATCCGTACAAATGCAACGGAAGTGCGTTACGGCAGATAAAATAAGATATTAGTCGAGTGCGATTCGACATTCGCTCTCGATGATATCATTTCTATACGGGTCGATTGTGATTAGTCGTCGCGTATGTGGATAGAGATTTGTCGTAGTATGCGTACCGATATCAACAAGGAAATCGGCATAGATAAATGAATATTTTAAAGTTACATCGTAGTACAAATCTTTATTTAATGAAAAATCAGAAGAATATTTTACACTGTTCCTTGAAAAAAATAAAACAAATTAATTATTTGTGCCGTGTACTAAACGTAAGTTTATTGATTAGAAATTATTTCTATATTATTCGTAGTTTCTATAAATCTTTGAAGTTATTAAAATGGAAAATATTTTTAGGCAAGACAGATATTACAGCTGTTCAAAGAATGAGATTATATCGCCAGCAAAAAAGTTAAAAAAATACATGCAGTCAATGAATGTATGTTAATTTTAATTACATGAAGTTCTGCCAACACAATTATTACATGATGAGTGAAGTTGTGAAAACAATATTTGCTTAGGCGTTGTTTAACATAATCCACTGTGTGAACGAATATTATAGAATTTATTAATCAGCAATTACTTCATTTCTCTAATAAAGGTTCGAGTCCTAAATGCTAATTACAATGACAAACCGATCATGTCATATTTGAAGTATGACTTTAATTGCATTATTGTTTTTAAATATTAAACATATTTTTAATGTTATTATAAATATATAATTTATAATTTATCATTATATAAATGTGTATAATAATCGACACTAATAAATGTGTGTATCACAAGTGTTACCGTATTACTAATAAACATTATTCAAAATTGTTATATGATGTATTTATTTTTACTTAAATTTGCTACTTTGTATAGTAGCAAATAAGTTTTACTTCAATCGCGTGTGATCCGTTTGCGCACTCTTTATTTTTTTCTTACAGGATAAAAAAACTGACCCCAGCATAAAGAAGTTTTACTTTACTAAGACTTGTTTGTAATCCATCATTTTTTATATTTAATTATTATATAATTGACGTTTCAATTTTATCTTTTTTTTATCTTTCTCTAAGTTTGTCATTAGTTGAATCAGAAACATCGATTTAACGTATAAAAACCTTGAATGACCAATCGCGTCAATTCTATGCAAATGATGTCGTCGGCCAATGACTAATCAGAATTTAATGAAGCCGCGTCTAAAGAAGTTTCACTTCAAGACTATTAGTTTGTCATCTATCATTTACGTAATTTGTTGTTTTTCTAGTGATATAAGATTAAAAAAAACTGACCCCAGCATGAAGATAAGTGAAAATAAGAGATTGAAAGAAAATCTAATTGAAAACAAGATTTGTTTATGATCCATCATTGTTTAAATTTAATTATATTTTACGTTTCATTTTTATCTTTTTTTATCCTTCCCTAAGTTTGTCATCAATTAAATCAGAAACATCGATTTACCCATTTTGAAACCTTAAATTAAACCACCAATCGCATCAACTCTATCCAAATGACGTAATCAGCCAATGACGAATCAGAATTTACAGAAGACGCAACCTAAAGAAGTTTTACTTCAAAAATATTTTATTGTGATCCATGTGTTTTACTTCAAAAATATTTGTTCCTATCCATTTACGTGTTTTATTTTCTTCTTCTAGTGATACAAGGTAAAAAGACTGATCCCAGCTTCGGCCCTTCAATGGGCATGATGGGAAACCACATGAATGGCGGTATGGGGCACATGGGCCCTGGAGGAGACTCCAGATACACCCCTGATCCGTACAGGGGCGCCGTAAGGGGCGGCCAAGCCGGGGCTGATATTATTAGAACTAGGAACACCACAGGTAACACTTAATGGAACCTCGCGTACTTCCTTGAGGAACACCTAAACTTAACAATCCTTTTTTTGTATGTTTTAGCTCACCAGTCGTCGACGAGACGTCGGATTGTCGTGGGGGTTTATTCTTACGAAGCCCGAGAACAGAGTGATGTCTCTTTCAGAAAAGGTGACAGGATGGAGGTCCTGGACGACTCGGAATCTGATTGGTGGCGAGTTTTGCATTTGACCACCAGACAGGAGGGACTGATTCCTTGGAATTTTGTGGCAGAAGAGCGCAGCGTCGAGAGCGAAGAGTAAGTAGATAGAAATAAATCATATCCGGTAAACGAACCGAAATTTAGAGTTACTTAGCTATGTATAGTGTTAGAAGTATCGAGGCAAAAGATCGATATTGAGTACTTTGAAAAGTATCTAATCAAAATATCGATGCCAAAAAAATATCGTGGCGAAAGCATCGATAGTACTCAATATCGAATTTTGAGTACTTTTCATAAAAATCAAACATAAGTGCAAGAAAGATCTAAAACTCATTAAATATTATATCACAATATTAGAATGAATTCTATTGCTTGTAATCTGATGTGTTAAGGGGGGCGATACATGTAACAAGAAAAAAAAATCGATTTTTTTTTCTTTCATAAATCGTTACAATAACATCTCAAAAATATGCCTGTAAATATTCAAAACAAAATTATCATTATTTATACAATAAAAACTCATTTAAGTGCCACGCCTCAACTCGACGCTTGAGTGCTATTGTACTCTTATCTGTTTCTGTGTCAAAACTTTAAACGCGTTTTTCTCAAAACGACATTTTTGAAATTTGCGGGCGGGATAACTCAAAAAGTTCTCAACCGATTCCAATGAAATTTTGCACACATCTACTTTACAGTAATAGCTTCTAGTTAAACCTCAAACATTCCAAACTTTTTTTCAAAAATTAACCCTTTTACCAAAAAAACATTGAAAAAAAGGTGAAAAATCGAACTTTTTTTTTCTAAGGTGTGCCAATTTACGATTTTGTGACTTTTTTAATTTTTTTTTAGTTTAACTAGAAGATATATGTTTCATGAACACGTACAAACTAATTTTTTTAAATTCAGATCACCGTACGAAAAGTGAGAACGCCCGCAAATGGATGGCGTTTTCCGAGAGGGTCTTGGCAGATTTATTTTTACGGCAGCCATTAAAAAAAAAAAAATTAAAAAAAATTTTTTTTTGTGTATTTTAATATATAATAAATAACCCTAAAAAAGTTCAAAAAGATTCAATCATTCCTTCCCAGTTTAAAAAGTTCTCAAAAAATGGTAAAAATTAAGGCGATTACATGTATCGCCCCCCTTAAATCAGAATCATTTTCAATATTGTAAAATTTTAACAGTAATTTTTCAATACTAATTTCAAATTCTATAATTTTTCAAAAAAAAGACAAGTTATAATAGTTGATCATTTTTGATTAAAACAATGTAATAGTCTGATACTATATTGCAAAAAGCAATACTTTTCAAGTATTTTTAAGCACAATCATATTTTTAATATTTTTCAGTGCAAACAATTGCCAAATATTTTCTAAAAGTTTTTTGCCCACTATACTAAAGAAAGTATTCTTTAGTTTTGTTGTCATTCATTCAGAAAAGGTCAGTTGAAATCCGATTCCTAAAATATGTTCATAATGTGCACAAACTGAAAACGAGACATTTTAAGATTCACGTAACACAAAGAAAATATTGCTCTTCTGTTCTTTTTTAAATTGTTTATTTAATTTTTAATTTACAAGTACTTTACTTCAACTTACTGTGGGAGTAGTAATGATAATGATAATATATAAAATTAGAAACTCCCAGCATAATAAAAAAATATAAATTTATTGACTATCAAAATATTTCCAGATCAAAAATATACATGACATGTCCGATTGTTTTTTACAAATCAAAACCAGCCTGCTTGATATCGCCACATTACAATTCACATACTTTTAGAAAGAAAAATAATAACGCATTGAAATCGATGAGTATTATTATTTGAAATAATTATATTTCGATTCTTTTTTACGCAAAATACTAATATATTGAAATTGACGAATATCATTATTTGAAATTATTATATTTCGATTCTTTTTTAAGCAAAATACTAATATATTGAAATTGATGAATATTTCGATTCTTTTTTACGCAAAATACTATTATATTGAAATTGATGAATATTATTATTTGAAATAATTATATTTCGATTCTTTTTTACGCAAAATTCTAATATATTGAAATTGATGAATATTATTATTTGAAATAATCATACTTCGATTGTTGAATATGTTTTTATAAAACATTTTGGTACTTTAAAAAGGCGTTTCATTTTACAAAAGAGTAATAAATAAACATCTTTATTTATTAGTGTGGTCATATCCATTTTGGGTTTTTGAGCAATAACTTCTGAGACTAATGACCCTTCGGGATCATTTTTTGACACTTCTCTGAACAATTATGACCACCTAGAGAGACTATTGCATTGCATTCGGCAAAATGGTTGGTTTTCATAGTTGGTCGATAAGTGGGGTTCATAGATTACGCTGTCGATTCTTTTTGAGTACTATCGACGTAAAAGATCGATATTGGCAAATATATCGAGCTAAAAAATCGATACCAAAAGTACTCACTATCGACCGCGAAGTATCGATATTTACTTAGTACTCGATATTTCGTTCTAACACTAGCTATGTATCTATTACTACCATGTATCTTTTACTCCAGTTGGTTCTTCGATCACATTTCTCGCAAAGAAGCAGACAAGCTCCTGCTGTCCGATGAGAACCCACGAGGTACTTTTCTGGTCAGGCCTTCGGAACACAATCCGCAAGGCTATTCTTTGAGTGTGAAGGACTGGGAGGAGCAACGAGGCTATCATGTCAAACACTACAAGATCAAACCTTTGGATAATGGTGGATTCTATATTGCAACGAATCAGACATTCCCTAGTCTGCCTGCACTGGTCTTGGCTTATACGAGTATGTATAGATCGAGGATAGTTTTTAAGATTAAATTATAATTTAATGAGACATTTTACAGGGGTGAGATAATAGAAAAGTAGGGAATTATTTATGGCAATGTAGTACTTGTCAGCAATGAGAGAGACTGATGAGAGTTTTTATTCATTAGATTTTTATCGATTAAGATTTTTCTGAAATTATTGATATTTATATCGATTGGTAAGATCGAATATAACTCTGATTGGTAAGATCAAAAGTGTAAAATAAAAGAAATACCTGATGAAATATTTTATAATCATCAGATTTTAGTGTCTCAATATTGGACAAGATGATATCACAAGAATGACTTGGTAAGCATTATTCGGTTTACAGCATGTATATCGGTGTTGTGTTGGTTGTAGTTTTAATTATTATTTTTGTCATTAAAATTTATTTTTATATGGTTTGTTTTAAGTTAGTAATATAGTTTTAAACAGCACTATTGCACGAGTTGCACAGTATTTGAGTAACATTATATGTATGTAGCTGGATGTAATATATATATATATATATATATATATATATATACTAGATGACCCGACAGACATTGTCCTGTACCCACGTCTACAATTCAGAAGTTCCAAATTTTTTAATATCCTAATTTATACTTTTTAATATCCTATTCGATGTCCTGCCTTTGTGATTTATTTATGGTCTTAGCATAAGCAGTATAAGAAATTCAGAAAAAAATAATATAATATCTGCGTTAAAAGAACAATATCACACTTGATTTTACCACACAATATAGTTGCTTTAATAACTTAGTCTATAATTTTCATAATCTCGTACGATATATTAGTTGCTTTTTGGCATTTATCATTTCTAAAGTACATTTTTCTTACTAATAATTTAATAAACATGGTATTGTTTATGTTCAAATCTTAGGTGAATTAATTTGTAAAATCTAGTTCATATGTGCACTGTTCAATCTAAGATCAACTTGCTAAATATTCCATATCTAATGCCAAACAAATGAATTTTTGACACACGAAACAAAATTCTAAATCATTTTTGTAATAAGAAGAAATATTTTTTTGTATTGTTAAATAATTTAGTAAAGTAAACCAAAATGCGACATGCATAAGTTTAAAAAAATAATGTATATGCAATTTTGGACTAATTGCATTTTTATTAAACTGAACTTTATAATTTCATCTGCCAAACGCCTACTGTTGACTGCATCTTATATTATTTTAATTTCTGGCACATCTCAGCTGCTTTTCAGCCATAATAATGTAGACATTACATTTTTTTGTATATTATATTCCAATATTATCTAGGCTCATAATTTCAGCTAAATTCAAATTTCAGGTGAATTGACATTTCTAGCATATGACAGTTCAATGTCAAACAATGATAAGTGTTTTTTTGTAATTTTTTCAATTTATTTCTACAATATTACTATAGTTTTGTTGCTCATTAAATCTTAAAAATTTCCTTCAACAAACTCTAAAAAGAATTATCAAAATCCGAATAACCGTTTAGAAGTATCAAATCATACACCCGTACAGAAGAATTTTATATATAAGATATATATATATATATATATATATATATATATAATAGATATACTAGCTGACCCGGCAAACGTTGTTTTGTCATATAAAATATTTTCAGTATAAAAGCAACTAACTGATTGCAAATATGATATATAAGTGTAGGGAGCAGCTAACACAAATTATATGAATGGTTTACCCACTGCAACGCATGCCACATATAAATGTTTTTGGGTCATATTAATAGTCTTTGCAAATGCCAAACTAATCTGAAACTGATTCTATTTAAATTGAATTGGCACATTTAATGTTTCAAGATTTTGATATATTATTATTGCGCTTTTCATTAATTCATTAATTTGTGAGTTACGAAGCAAAAGTCGATAATTCGAAAGAAAAAAATTGAGAGATTGGAAACTTTTACAGTTTTACTATATATTTGTATGGTACCTATAGTTTCCTATCAAAAACTGTTGTATATTTAAATTTTAATATACGATCTCTCTAAAAAAATTCTTCATGCAAACCATTTATCAACTCTGTACTGTTTGTGCGCATCGGAAAATATTTTCACAATGGGAAAATGGGAGGGGTGGACCCTTTATAAAAATAAATGTTTTTTTTTTAAATAAAAATCGTGAAAATTAAAATAAAGAAAATTGACTCCAAAATTGAAAACCCTTAATAAATATAAATTGTTTTTCAAAGTAATATTGTAGCTTTTTTTAAGTTCAAAAATCTGAACTAAAATTATAATAATTAAAATGACTGAATTACTAAAACGGCTCTAATAAAATAGGGGTTAGTGATAAAAAAGAAAAATTTAGGGTCGTATGTATAATTAGGCTCGCTTAAATTAAATTCAAATTTCAAGTGAATCGACATTTTTGGCAGATAACAGTTCTCATGCATCAAATTGTTTCAACGACAAACAATGATACGTTGTTTTTTGCAATTTTTTTCATTTATTTTTACAATATTACTATATTTTTATAATTACATACATTCTGAAATATTCCCTTAATAAATTTAAGAAAGAATTATCAAAATCCGAATAACCATTTAGAAGAAGTATTAAATCATACACCCGTACAGATATACTCGTATATTAAAGCTTGTTTGGGGTAAAGGACAAAGAATCTTAGGACATACATTGTGTATGTATCAGGCGCGTGTTCGTTTTTCAATAATGTGTAATAAAATAATTTGTACAAAATTGAAAAATCTGCAATAGTTTTTCCATTATGTAACTCGGTATACTTATAAATCAGTCATAAATTAATATATTGATTTCTTATTGATTAAGTCGATTATTTACACGTATCGGGAAGTTCATGCAACTTGTGTTAACGAAAAATGCCACTTACACCTAGTTTTTTTTTATCATTTTGCTGTTCGACAATTACAATATTTGATCAATGGACTCCTCAACTAATAAAATTTAGAATGTATATATATAGAAAATCGAAATTTTTATTTTATGGTTCTACTAACAAAATTGTTGCATGTTTGTAAATATCTTTGTCGTCTCTCTAACACTATGGTTTATATCATACAAATCACGGCTCGATCTATAACTTAATAATATTCTTATATTTCTATTTTTAGATGCAGATAATGCCAAAGAAGCAGCAATATCAATTCCCCAGCTGGTGAGAGCTTGCAGAAAACCCAGACCTCGAATGTTCGATTTGAGCAACGAGACTTCAAAAGGCAAAAATTGGGAAATACCACTCGAAGACATCGATATCCGTGAGAAGTTGGCCAGTGGTAATTTTGGCACCGTGTGTCTTGGCCTGTGGAAAGGTAAGACTGAAGTGGCCATCAAGAAATTGAACAAGTCAGATGTCAAGTCGATAAATGATTTTAAACAAGAGGCAAAGATTATGAAGACTGTGAGACATGAACATCTCTTGGCATTGTTAGGAATTTGTCAAACTGATGACGAGTTGTATATAATCACGGAGTATATGAAGAATGGTGCTTTGCTCGATTATTTGCACATGAAAGGTAAAATGTTGAAGAAAACTGATTTGTACGGGTTTGCAGAACAGATTGCTAGTGGCATGGTTTATTTGGAAGAGCAGAAGTACATCCATCGCGATTTGGCAGCTCGCAACGTGCTGGTGGATGAAATGTTTGGTGCCAAAATATGCGATTTTGGTCTCAGCAGAGCAATTCAGGACGACATCTACGAATCTAGAAGTCGTGTTTGTGCTGTAAAATGGACAGCGCCGGAGGCGCTCGAATTTCAAAAGTACACCCACAAATCAGACGTCTGGAGTTACGGTATTGTCCTCCATGAAATATTTTCCTTGGGAAAGGTTCCGTATCCGGGAATGAAAAGTTCGGAAATGATTGATAATCTGAGAAATGGACATCGGATGGCGAAGCCGGATTTGTCAAGTGAGGAGACTTACGAGTTGATGCTGAAGTGTTGGGCTTGGGATAAAGACAACAGGCCGGAGTTTAAGGAGATTCATGAGTTTATGAAGAAGATTTGTGACGATGGATATATGTCCAGCAATATGGATGTGGAGGAGAATGCACCTTTACTGGATAAAAATTGATAGTGATATATTTATATCCAATGCTTAAGGGGCACAAATAGTGTGAAATTTTCAAAAATTTTAATTTTTTCATATTCCGATAGGTTATACCTTTAAAAATAACATACCAAAATTTTAAATCGATATCTCAAATAGTTTTTGAATCACAGCCATTTAAAGAGTATATATGTAGTATATAGTATAACGATCATTTTATCTTTAAACGCGTTTTTCTCGAAACAGCATTTTTCGAATTTGCTGCAGTGATTACTCAAAAACAAATGATCCGATCGCAATCGATTTTTTTTACATGTTCTATATATAGTACTCCGTAAAATAAACTATCGATTTTTTGACCCGATCAAAAATCGAATTTTGGCGGTCCAAAACCGACCAAAATTTTGGGTAAAATTCGACTATCTTTTTTAAAACACCGCCGTTTTGTCAATTTTTGATTTTTTTTTATCGAAGGTCATTTTACAGACAATATTATCTAGTTTAACGAGAATTTTTTTTATATTTTATTCACGTAGAAGGCCGGAATCTCTGCAGCAGTGAATGGCCTTTTTTTCGCGCCGTTGGAGATCGACGATAACTTAAAAAATATTTAATTTTTTTCTTCAAAAATTTTACTGTGTATTCTTAAAACATGTGTAAATATATTCTTAACATTGCAATGTTTGATAAAGTTTTTTTTTTTAATATAAATTTCCAAAAATCACCTTTTTAGGCGTTTACACCAGTTGTGCCCCTTAAGTCAGCTACTTGTGTGTCATTGCAAAAAAACAGTGATTGATAGAAAATAATATTTGCACAATTGTTCGGGTAACAAGCATAAAGTTAAATTGATAAAACCTCATCAAGTAGTGCAATTTGAGGGCAACTTAAAATTTTTATTAGGTATCTCAAATTATTGTTTCCTCAATGTAAATTGTTTTAATTCAAGGAAGTAGGTACAAGTAAGCCAAAACGTTAAAATGAGTTTTAAAAAAATTACTATATGAATATTTTTATCTTTATGATTTGACCCTTTCGTTACGACCTGTGTGTACGAGAGTCGTCCATAGAGGACATCCAGTGGATCGACTTTTACTTCAGTATTTATCACTCTGCGTTGATTTATCGAGAGTATTATATTGTTATTGTGGTTTTTAGTTCTTTACAAGTGTAATTTTTAATTTTTAAATGCATTTTCATCTATAGTGATTGGAATGTCTTAAAATATTGTGTGTGTAACAAATATTTGGGTGGCTTGCTGGCTCGTACAACAGTGACCGAAAGGATAATTTTTTTTATGAAATATTTATAATTGTTAATGATTTAGTATTTCAAATTTTATATGCGTTACTATTAGTAGTTCATATTATATTCTAATATAAATCAATAATATATATTTAATCAATATTATATTATATATTATATATATTTTTATGTATAACATTAACAAATATAATAATTTATTTATAACAAAAAAAATTGTAAAAGACGAGTAATTAAGCAAATTATGTCTTAATGCAATCTAATATCTTTCGAAGATTTATTGGATTTTTTAAATCGGTTCAGGATTTTTGAGACAAGTTACGACATTGTCGGACGTGCTACGGTATTGTGGGCAGGTTTCATAATTAAGGGAGAGGTTACATAATTGTGGGACAGATTACGACGTGGTGGGATAGGTTTCGATATGGTGAGACAAGTTACGACATTTTGAGACAAGTTTCGACTAGTTATATCATTGTGAGACAAGTTACGACGTTGTTGGACGAGTTTCGACACCGTGGGACGAGTTACGACACTGTGGGACGAGTTACGACGTTGTGGGACAAGTTACGACGTTGTTGGACGAGTTTCGACACCATGGGACGAGTTACGACACTGTGGGATAAGTTACGATACGGTGGGACAAGTCATGACATTTTGGAATATTGTGGGACAAGTTACGACGTGGTTGAATAGGTTACGACATTGTGGGACAGATTACATAATTAAGGAAGAGGTTACATAATTCTGGGACAGGTTACGACATTGTGGGATAGGTTACGACATTGTAGGACAGGTTACAACATGTTGGGACAGGTTACGACATTGTGAGATAGGTTACATAAAATTGGGACAAGTTATGACATTGTGATACTAGTAACATTTTGAGACCAGTTACATCATTTTTGGTCAAGTTACATGATTATGAGGCACATTATGTAATTGTGAGATAGAATATGTAATTGTGATATAGAATACGACATTGTGGGGTAAATTACGACGTGGTTGGACAGGTTACGACCTGGTTGCATAGGTTAAGACAATATGAGACAGGTTTACGACGCCGTGGAACAGGTTACGATATGGTTGGACAAGTTACGATATGTTTGGACAAGTTACGACATTATGGGGCAGGTTACGACATTGAGGGACAAGACTAGATTTTTATAAATATTTTATGCGATTTATTGATATCGTTATATCATTTAATAATTTTTATATTTTAACGAATGACTTTGTTTAGCTGATTACGACTTACGGGGCATCCATTAATCACATGAGGTGTTTTGGGGGAGGGGGGGTTTGACGGCTAACGACGTTTACTCGTCATTATTTTATCGTCTCAAAGCTTGTTAAATCTTAATTCTTATTGATTATGTCGATTATTTACGCGTATCGGGAAGTTTATTCAATTTGCCTTAAGGCCAAACGTCTAGTTTGATTAATCAACGTAAAATTTTATGTCAAGAACTGTTATTAAAATCGGCTCTCAGACCGAGGTAATACAATTTGATGTGACAAAATCTATTCAAAAGCCTTATTTTTTATCATCTCTCTATTTCCAGAAAATGCCCTTGGCCTCTGCCATGTTCTCTCCCGGCCCTGCCCTAAGCCCCAGCCCCAGATGTGGGACTTGGGCCCTGAATTGCGAGACAAATGGGAAATCCCCCGATCAGAAATCAAGCTGATCCGAAAATTAGGCCACGGCAACTTCGGCGAAGTCTACTACGGTAAATGGCGAAACAACATCGAAGTCGCCGTCAAAACCTTAAAAGAAGGCACCATGTCCACCCAGGCGTTCCTGCAGGAGGCCAGCATCATGAAGAAGTTCAGACATAATCGACTGGTGGCCCTGTATGCTGTCTGCTCGCAGGAGGAACCTATTTACATAGTCCAGGAGTACATGTCTAAAGGAAGTTTGTTGGACTTCTTGAGGAATGGCGATGGTAAATACTTGCAGTTCGAAGATTTGATTTACATAGCTGCACAAATAGCTAGTGGTATGGAGTATTTGGAACTGAAGCAACTGATCCATCGAGACTTGGCAGCTAGGAATGTCCTCATAGGTGAAAACAACGTCGCCAAAATTTGCGACTTCGGCTTAGCTCGAGTAATAGAAGACAACGAATACTGCCCCAAACAAGGATCACGCTTCCCTGTCAAATGGACAGCACCGGAAGCAATAGTCTATTGTAGATTCTCAATCAAATCGGACGTCTGGTCTTATGGAATCTTGTTAATGGAACTGTTTACCTACGGGCAAGTTCCTTATCCTGCAATGCACACCAAGGAAGTCATCGAGAAGATTGAGAAGGGTTACAGGATGCCCAAACCGACTAAACATCATCTACCAGATGATATCTATCGGATAATGTTGCAGTGCTGGGATGCTGTACCCGAAAAGAGGCCGACGTTTGAGTTTTTGAATCACTACTTCGAATCATTTACTGTGACCTCGGAAATTCCATACAGGGAAGTACAGGATTAATTTTGTAGATGGACAAAGTAAGGTTGGTGGTAGAAATTTAAGTTTTATTGGATAACGGTAATAATTTTATTTGAGAGACTGGATTGTTTTATGATACAAAGATTTTTATTTTCAGTGTATAGAAGTTAATACTACTTTTCTAAATTAGCCTCTCTCTTTGCCTTTTCGCGTTTTAGCCTCAATTTTTCCAAAGCGTTCCTCATTTTCCTTAACAAGGTGACTCCGGAGTGTGCACTCGGCATTTTAGGGGGGGTTGTCTGATCAAAGTCTTTCTAGACAATGGTATTTTTTTTAATTGGTGTTTTAATAAAAAAAAAACTTATGGATGAGTCTTAAACATCCGATATTTGTATATATGTTACGACATTTGTAGACAAGTTACGACATTTTCAGATAAGTCACAATATGCTTAAACAAGTTAAGACATTTTTAGACCAGTTGCGAATTTACAAGACAGTTTACGACATTTCGAGACTAATTACGATATCTTTGGATAAGTTACGATATCTTTGGACAATTTTCAACATGTTTAGTCCGGTTACGACATTTCTAAACACGGAGTTACAATATTTCTAGACAATTTACGACATTTATAGACAAGTTACGACATTTCTAGATAAGCTATGATATTTTAAGATACCAGTTTTCAGGTACTCTACAACATTTTCAGACAAGTTAAGATATGCTTAGACAAGTTATGACATTTCTAGGCCAGTTGCGACATTTCTAGAACATGTTTAGACAAGCTTTGACATGTTTAGACAGGTTACGACATTTCTGAAGAAGAAGTTACTATATTTCTAGACAAGTTTGGACATTTATAGACAAGTCTTAACATTTCCAAAGAAGGAGTTACAATATTTCTCGACAAGTTACGATATGTTTAGATAAGTTGCGGAATTTCTAGACATTTCCTAGACGAGTTGAGATATTTGTGTTGCGACATTTATAGAAAATTTGCGATATTCTCAGACGAGTTGAAATATTTCCAGACGTGTTGAGATATTCCTAGACGTGTTGCGATATTTTGCAACATTTTACGGTATTTTTAGACAGGTTACGACATGTTCAGACAAGTTGCAGCACGTTTAGACAACCTTCCACCTGCTTAGACAGGTTACGACATTTCTAAAAAAGGAGTTATGGTATTTCTAGACAAGTTTTGACATTTATAAACAAATCTTGACATTTGTAGACAAGTTTAGACATTTATAGACTAGTTTCGACATATTCAGACAAGCTTTGACATGTTTAGTCCGGTTACGATATTTCTAAAGAAGGAGTTACGATACTTCTAGACAAATTACGACATTTATGGACAAATTACGACATTTCTAGACGAGTTATGACACTTTTTAACGTGTTACATTTCTTGACAGGCTACGATATGTTCAGACAAGTTTCGATATTTATATACAACTTTCGACATTTTCAGACAAGTTTCGACATTTTCAGACAAGTTACAACATTTTCAGACAAATCTCGCTTCGTCCCTTTCTATTCCTGAGTATTAATCATTTAACGCATCTTTGTTGGAAGAGAAAAAACGTATTAAGCGTGATAATCTTAGTCATCGATAAAATTAAAACACTGCCAGTCTCTCGATCAAAAATTACTTTTATCGATCACCGCCTTACTTATCATCGTAGTGTGATCCAAACCTAACGATCTAACAAAGTGATATCTATATATACATTTATATATATATATATATATATATATAGTGATAATTTTTTACATCACATTCGATTATCCCTTCGTTAGTGCATCATCATCATCATCGTTGTTGTCAGTGAAATGTGATATTACATTGGACTATTTTTTCTTTTTCACCGAGAACAAATTTTTTGGGATTAGACGATAACCATGAATGGTAAATAAAGACTTGATTATTAATATTAAATTTAAATATAAATATTTAGTATTAATATAATAAACAAATTGTATTTTATACATTTTGCAATGAAATTTTTACTGAACTGATGAATATATATATATATATATATATATATATATATTGTGTATGTAGTGGTACTTAATGAGTAGTAGTCGATGAGGAAAGTATATGAGGATATATATATATATATATATATATATATATATATATATATATGTATGTATATGTATATGTATTATCTAGCAAAGTTGCGACATTTCTGGACATTGTTGCGAAATTTATTGACCAATTACGACATTTACTGACCAGTTACTACATTTTTAGATAAGTTGCGACATTTTTGGAGAAGTCACATTTCTAAATACATGTTACGAAATGCTTAATCAAGTTACGATATGTTTACCCAAGTTATGACATATAGACCAGTTGCATTTCTAGACTTGATGCGACTTTTAAAGACGAGTTGCGACTTTTTAAGACTAGTTACGATATTATTAAACTAGTTGCGACGTTTGTAGACAAGTTACGAGATGTTTATGCAAGTTATGACATAGATCAGTTACGACATTTCTATACCATTTACGATATTTTGAAACTAGTTACAATATTTCTATAAAAGTTGCGACATTTCTAGACTAGTTACAAATTTTTAAAACCGGTTACGACATTTCTAAGCGAGTTAAGATTTTTTAAGACGAGTGACGAGTTGCAACATTTCTAGACTAGTTACAACGTTTTAAGACAAGTTGTGTCATTTCTAGATAAACCACATTTCTAGATGAGTTGCGACTTTTTAAGACGAGTTATGACATTTCTAGAGATGGTACGACTTTTTAAGACTCGGTATTTCATTTCTAGACTAGTTACGACATTTTAAGACCAGCTACGACATTTCTAGACGAGTTACGGCATTTTGAGACGGGTTACGACCTTTTAAGACTAGTTACAAAATGCTTAGACAAATAACAACCTTTTAACACAAGTTACAACATTTTAAGAGAGCTTAAGATATTTCTAGACAAGTTGTTACTATTCTAGACATGTTACGAAATTTTAAAACCAGTTACGATATTTCTAGACGAGTTACGACATGTTTTGACAAGTTGCGATTAGTAGAAAATTTGCGACATTTCTAGATATGTTATGACATTTTTAGACCAATTACGACATTTCTAAGACCAGTTACGACATTTCTAGTACAGTTGCTGCAATTCTAGACATATTAAAAGATTTTAAGACCAGTTACAATATTTCTAGATGAGTTACGACATGTTTAGACAAGTTGCGAGATTTATAAAGAATTTGCGACATTTCTGGATATATTACGACATTTTTAGACATGTTACAACATTTTAAGACGAGTTGTGAAATTTTTTAGACCAGTTACGAAATGCTTAGACAAGTTACGACATTTTATACAAGTTGCGAGATTTGTAGAGTATTTGCGGCATTTATAGATATGTTATGACATTTTAAGACTAATTACGACATTTCTAAGACCAGTTACAACATTTCTAGACCAGTTGCTTCAATTCTAGACATGTTACGACATTTCTAAGACCAGATGCGACATTTTTAAACTAGTTACGACGTTTCTGGACAAGTTTCGACATTTATAGATGTCTCCTGTTTTCTAGCCAAATTGCGACATTTCTAGACAAGTTGCATATATATATATATATATATATATATATATATATATATATATCTTCATATACTTGTAGTGTATAATTAATATAAAAATATTTGTGCTTTCGAATTATATATTATTATTATTATTTCGGGTTGAAGAGTTTTTAAATATTATAATGTATGCATCGAAGATTATTATACAAAATTGCTTATCATGATCTTGACAAAATATATGAATGTTGATTTTTTTAACGTTTCGTTAATTCTTATATCCTTTCTCTTGGATAAAGCTAAGTTTTGTTTCTGATCATAATCTGGTTTTTGTTATAAATTTTGTTATAGAGTATAAATATATATATTAAAAAATGTGAGAAACAAAATCATAAAATCATGAAATTTATAACAAAAAATAGTATCGAGTCTCATTCGAAGTGTTTCATTTTTCTGTATTTTATCTTTACAACATATATTATTCGAAAAAAAACTCTTCAATATTATATATTAAAAAAAACGTGTAATATTCTTTAAAATTGTTTCAATTTTAAATAGGTTTTAATAAATTGACCACATTTTCACATATCGATTTGATCAGTGATCAATGATCGATTAATCGATATGTGAAAAAGTGCATCGATACTTCTCATGCATATTTGTAGGATCTTACATATGATATACCAAAGCTTATTATACTTATATTATATTATATTATAAATTATGTTTATTGATTAAGATTTAGATATTGTGAACACATTTAAAGACACAGCCATTTATTATGTGATCAGAAATAATATATATACACACTTGTGTATATATATATATATATATATATGTATATATATTTGTGTGCATTGAATTTACTATAATTTACTAAATGTCATGAGCAATAATATATGTATATATCAATTGTAAACCACAAAATGTAAAAAGGCAACTGGAGCATTGAACGTAACTGTTACGTAACACGAAAGTAACGATGGTTCGTTCTAGAAATATCAATATTACTTTTATTTTAAATTTTAAAGGGATGTAACAATAACGTTGTTGTACGGAAAATATCTAGGGTGGGCATTTTTATAACGATTTTTATTTGTTTTTAATGTAAAAATGTAACAAAACGACTTTTCAACTTGATAGTTACTTAAATGTAATTTGAACATTGAACGTAACTGGTACGTAACACGAAAGTAACGTAGGTTAGTTTTAGAAATATTATCAATGATACTTCTATTTAAAATTTGAAAAATATGTAACAAAAACGTTATTGTACAGAATATACCTATACTAAAGAACCTAACAAAACGACTCTTCAACATGATAGTTACGTTAAATGTAACTTGAACATTGAACGTAACTATTACGTAACACGAAAGTAACAGTGGTTAGTTGTAGAAATATTATCAATGTCACTTTTGAATTTATTTTAATTTCTATTTCCAAAAAGATGTAACACAAACTTTGTTGTTATACAGAAAATATCTAGGTAATTTTTTTATATTGATTTTTTTTGTTTTTAATGCAAAAACGTAACAAAACGACTTTTCAATTTGCTCGGACATCGAACGTAACTGTTACGTAATCAGTAAGTCACAATGGGTAGTTTTAGAAATATCGAGAATTTCCTATCCAAAAAAGATGTAATACAAACGTTGTTTTTTTACAGAAAATACCCAGGGTGCTTGATTCAAATTTTTATAATCGTGTTTAGGAATTTTTAATGCAATAACGTAACAAAACGACGTTTCAACGTGATAGTTACATTAAATGTAACTTAAACATTGAACGTAACTATTAAGTAACTGGAATGCAACAATGGTTATTTGAGAGATATTATCAATGTTACTATTATGTTTATTTTATTTTTAATTTGAAAAATACAAAAGTTATAGTTATATAGAAAATTCCTAACATATCTTTATTTGTTTTTAATGTAAAAACGTTACAAAACGACTGTTGAACGTGGCAGTTACGTTAAATAAATGTCACACTGGTTTGTAACACGGTTGCTACTTTTTACATATATATATATATATATATACATCTAATATTGTCCATATCGACCAAGAGATGTCATCTCTATTTATAAATTAAGTTTAGTAGTGTTCTTCTTGCGTAACGTTTTAAGTTCCGTGTATTTGTGTATATTAAAATATTAAATATTTATGAGTTATACATATATAAATATAAATATATACAAATATATATATAAAACCATGTTTTTACATATTTCGCACCGAAACTGATGGACGATAGGAGATAACTAAATATGTGAACCAGGAATTTGCATGTTTCGAATCTAATTTCTATGTTCAAAAAATTGATGCGCTTCTTTTTGGATAACAAAACTATTATGGTTCCAATTCTGCGGTAACATATCAGATAACATAGCGTTATTATGGCAACACTATCTTAACATTTCTTGGTGCTAAAAACTGAGAAATGCTATCTAATTGCTGAACAATCAGACGTATTTTACATGTAAAACCGTATGTTATAAAATCTGTGTTATTGTTATCCGATTTAAGTGCTAGCGTTACCAGATTTAGGGGTCAATTCTCCGGTTAAATAGTCCATAACATAGCGTTATGTTATACTTGTTTCTTGGTACTAAAAACTGTGGAAAGCTGTGCGATCTGGCGTTTTATACATAAAACTGTGTGTTATGAATGCACATCACAAAGATGCAGTTTGGTCACATACTCTTTTTTACATTTGTGCGTTTTCTAGATTAGTTTTAACTTCCCGTAGGGTAAGTTATTGTAATGGGCCGAAAATCGGAATTGAAACTTCAGAACAAATGGATGTGTGTGTGTGTATGTATGTATGGATACAATTTTTTGCCCACGTTTTCGGGCGTACGGGTTAACCGATTCGAATGGTTCAAAAAACATTCGATTTCTATTGATAAGGAGATGTGCTGATTAGCTTTTGGCAAAGGCAGGTCCAGCAGTTACGGAGATAAAGAGGAAAGAGTGCAAAAGATAGAAATCGAGTTTTTGAGAGAACGGAGCATCCGATTTGAATGATCTAAAAAACATTCAATTAGTAATGATTGGGAGAGGTGGTTATCAGTTTTTCGCAAAGGCAGGCCCAGCCATTTCGAAGATGCGGAGCTAAATGTACAAAAAATGGCAGTTTTTGAGAGAACTAAGCGTCCGATTCAATTGATTCAAATAACTTTCTGCTTGTCTTAACAAAATAATTGGTTTTGGAAAAAAAAAATTGTTGTTTAATTTTTATTTTTTTTTTTTTAATTTTTTGTATATCGAAAATAATTGATTTTATTTTTAATTCTGACTATAGTTCTAATATACTTTAAACAAATAATTTCAACTCTGCAATTCAGTTTATATAATTCTTAAAAATATTAGACAATGTTACAATATTCATAATAATCTATTTGAAAACATTCTGTATTCCTCGAACATTTCGTTACGGTACGGGAAGTTCCAACAGTTTGCTTTAAGGCACGATGCCACCCACCCCACTAGTTTAAATCTAATCCGTCTGACTGCACAGCATTTCCCCAGTTTTTAGTACCAAGAAAGAAGTGTAACATATCGTTGCCATAACAACGCTATGTAATGGACTATTTTACCGCAGAATTGGCTCCTTAGTAAAAAATTCCTTATTAATTATTCGTCATTATTTTTATTTTAATTTTTATCTGCATTAAATTCTTGGTAATGTAATATTTATTTTATCATTATTGATTTTATCGTCGACGGGAATTAAAAAGATATGATTATCGTCAATGGAGAAATTTTGCAAAAAAAAATATTTTGCGAAGCGATAAATAATGATTTCGCAGTGATTGGAAAAGTTATACGTGCATTTTATTTTTGCTTGAATTAATTTAAAATATTAATATGTTTATTCTTTGTTATTTCTAATTAATATTAATTACTGGATTGCAGTTTGTCTTAGTGTATGGATTTTGTTACAAATTTCTCAGGTAAGAACGGTTGATGACTCTTATCAGATACTATTTTAACTTTTTAGCTAGGAGCGTCGCCTATAGGCGAAAGCCGCTTGGCGACCTGTGTGTACGAGTAAACAAGTAAACAGATAGATAAATAGACTGGTGAAAGATTAACAGTCAACAGTAGGTAAACAGTAACCAGATAGAAGCATTGACAGGCAATCGGGTAGAAAGATACGTAGGTGGGAAAGGTAGATCAAATATCTTCTATATATATATATATAAAAATAAGTCGGGTTTTCCTTCCTGACGAAATAACTTCAGAACGCACGAACCGATTTCGACAGTTTTTTAGTGGTGCATGGCATCGTGCCTTAATGCAAATTGCTGGAACTTCGCGCACCGTAATTAAAAATTCGAGTAATGACATTAGTGAGAATTATCAGAATTGTGCTTGGTTAAGTCAACGAGCAATTCTTGCCACAAAGAATAATGATGTACACGCACTGAATTTTACCATTCAATCAAAAATTGCTGGCGACTTGGTGACATACCAATGATTCCGACTGGTCTTCCGTTTCACTTCAAACGATTACAATTTCTAGTTCGCCTTGCGTTCGACAACGACAATTAACAAGTTGCAAGGCCAATCGCTTAGTGTTTGCGGGATAAATTTCAAATAGATTATTTAGAAAATCATTGTTTTTCACAAGGGCAGTTATACGTTGCCTGTTCACGAGTTGGAAAACCATTCGCTTTGTTTGTGTTAACGTCAGACCAAAAAACAAAAAATGTGGTTTACCAAGGAGCACTTCCATGGAACGGATAATATGCGGATTCACTTTCATTTACTTAGAGAAGTTCAACTAAAAGACACTTCATTTTTGTAATCGAAATAAATTCATTACTGTTGTGCAATAAAATCAAATTTTTCCTTTTCAAATATAAAGCAAACAAAAAATTTCTTCATCTTTCTCACGAAACCATCTGGTGGCGAAACGGAGTTCGTCGGGTTTGCTAGTTGCTTATAAAATGCCATTTTCACATCCATTTTTATTCCACATTTATTTAGACTCTCTATATTTCCATTTACGTAATATTTGTTAGTATTAACTTTCCACAGTGTATGCTCCAGCAATCGCAAAAAAATCGAAATTGAAAATTTTTCTATATCTTTACATCTGATTCACATTTTGGTATACCTTATAAAAAATGAATGTTTGTATGTGTGTATACAATGTTTCGTCCATTATTGATTGGCCCTAGTTTTTGGCAAAGGCGGTCCCATCTTTTTTGCAGATACGGAACAAAAAATGACAGTTTTTGAGAGAACGGAGCATCCGATTTGAATGATTCAATAGTATTAACTGACAGCTTAAAATTATAACATGTGACAAAATATGACATTTTGTGGTCTGAAGTGATCATTACAGAGCATTATCTTCAATATATATAAAAATAAGTCGGGTTTTCCTTCCTGACGAAATAACTCCAGAACGCACGAACCGATTTCGACAATTTTGCATTCGTTAGAAAGGTCTCGGGCTCCGCAAGGTTTACAGCTAAGAAAATTAGCTGTGCATGGCATCGTGCTTTCATGCAAGCTGCTGGAACTTCACGCACCGTAATTAAAAATTCGAGTTATGACATTAGTGAGAATTATCAGAATTATGCTTGGTTAAGTCAACGAGCAATTCTTGCCGCAAAGAATAATGATGTATACGCACTGAATTTCACCATTCAATCAAAAATTGCTGGCGATTTGGTGACATACCAATGATTCCGACTGGTCTTCCGTTTGACTTCAAACGATTGCAATTTCCAGTTCGCCTTGCAATCGCAATAACAAGTCGCAAGGCCAATCGCTTAGTGTTTGCGGGATAAATTTCAAATAGATTATTTAGAAAATCATTGTTTTTCACATGGGCGATTATACGTTGCCTGTTCACGAGTTGGAAAACCATCCGCTTTGTTTGTGTTAACGTGAGACCAAAAAACAAAAAATGTGGTTTACCAAAGAGCACTTCAATGAAACGGATAATTTGCGGATTCACTTTCATTTACTTAGAGAAGTTCAAGTAAAAAACACTTCATTTTTGTAATCGAAATAAATTCATTACTGTTGTATAATAATATCAAATTTTTCCTTTTCAAATATAAAACAAACAAAAAAATTTTTCATCTTTCTGACGAAACCATCAGGTGGCGAAACGGAGTTCGTCGGGATTGCTAGTTATTTATAGACAGGTAGATGAACAAGTAGACAAGTAGGAAGATAGACCGATAGACAGGTTGGAAGGTAGAAAAGTAGACAAGTAGGCAGGTCCACTAACAGGTGGAAAAATAGACAAGTTGAAATTTAGGCAGGATTATGCAATTTGCTTTAAAGTGAAATACCCCTTACACGTAGTTTAATATTACAGTTTCAACAACAATTGGTTTAAAATGGGAAATTGTTGCTGTTGCCTGGCATCTTTGTGCAAAGCAGCAGAAGTTGATTTCAAACCCAAAACTAACACAACCGTTACCTCGGATAGTCCCTTGTTGCGCCAGCCCTCTATAAAACGCAAAATTGTCACGGGGATTTATTCCTACGAAGCCCGAGAACAGAGTGATGTCTCCTTCCTCAAAGGTGACAGGATGGAAGTCCTGGAAGACTGGGAATCTGATTGGTGGCGAGTTTTGCATTTGACCACCAGACAGGAGGGATTGATTCCTTCAAATTTTGTTGCAGAAGAGCGCAGCGTCGAAAGCGAAGAGTAAGTAGATAGAAATAAATCATATCTGGTAAAAGAACCAAAATTTAAAGTTACTTAGCTATGTATCTATTACTACCATGTGTTTTTTCCTAGTTGGTTTTTCGTTGACATTTCTCGTAAAGAAGCAGACAAGCTCCTGATGTCTAATGAGAATCCACGAGGTACTTTTCTGGTCAGGCCTACAGAAAAAAATCCTCAAAGCTACATAATAAGTGTGAAGGACTGGGATGAGCCACAAGGCTATCATATAAAATACTATAGAATCAAATGTGTCGATGATGGGCATTTCTATATCGTCAAGCATCAGAAATACTCAAGTCTGCCTGCACTGGTCACGGCTTATATGGGTAAGTATAGACAGATATTATGTTCTCGGTGTAATTTAATAAGAAATATTCCTACAGATGTAGACGTGGTCAAAGCTGCTATAATAACTATACCTGTACTGACAAAGGTTTGCAAAAAGATCAGACCACGACTTTACGATTTGAGCAACGAGACTTCAAAAGCTATAAATTGGGAAATACCATTCGAAGACATTGATATTGGTGAGAAGTTGTCAAGTGGAAACTTTGGCACCGTGTATCTTGGTTTATGGAAAGGTAAAACAGAAGTGGCCATCAAAAAATTGGACAAGGCAGATGTCAAGTCGATAAATGATTTTAAGCAAGAGGCATCGATTATGAAGACTGTGAGACACAAACATCTCCTGGCATTGTTGGGAATTTGTCAAACCGATAAGGATTTATATATAATCACCGAGTACATGAAGAATGGTGCTTTGCTCAATTATTTGCGCGAGAGAGGTACCATGCTGAAGAAAGCAGATTTGTACGAGTTTGCAGAACAGATTGCAAGTGGCATGGTTTATTTGGAAGAGCATAAGTACATCCATCGCGATTTGGCAGCCCGTAATGTTCTAGTAGACAATTTGTTCAGTGTCAAAATCTGCGACTTTGGTCTCAGTAGAGCAATTCAGGACGAGATCTACGAATCTAGAAGTCGTGTTTGCGCTGTAAAATGGACAGCGCCGGAGGCGCTTGAATTCCAAAAGTACTCCCACAAATCAGACGTCTGGAGTTACGGTATTGTCCTTTATGAAATATTTTCCTTGGGCAAGGTTCCGTATCCGGGAATAACGGCTTTGAACATAATTGATAATCTAAGCAATGGACATCGGATGGCAAAACCAGATTTGGCGAATGATGACATTTACGAATTGATGCTGAAGTGTTGGGATTGGGACAAAGACAAGAGACCAGGATTTAAGGAAATTCACAAGATTATGAATGGGATTTGTGATATCGGGTATTGTTTTTACAATAGTGATGCAGCGGTGGAGAAAGATGCGTCTTATGACATACAAAGTGAAGATTTTGAGGCTGCAGACCAATACTCCAATCTCAATGAACCTTTATATTTAGGCCACTTCTCATAGGCACATAGTATTTCAGGATATTTGTTAAAACTATATTGATCTATATAATTGTCGAATAAAAAAAATAACAATTAATAACAAAAAAAGACCCGGCTAATGTTTACTGAAAATCAATCAGCACGTTTTTCAATATGATATCTTTCGATTGGTTTTTCAATTTTCAAAACCTGTTTAGAATATTTGGCTAAAACTTGAATGAAAATGTTTGCATATTTTTCTGATAAGCAATAAAGAAACGGCATGGCTGATCTTCTTTGAAATTTTCAAAAGTCAGATTTTTAACTTCTCGTAGGATAAGTTATAGTAATCGCAAAAAAATCAAAAATGAAATGTTCATTTATATATACGTTTCAGAGGTTTCTGAACATTTTCGTGTACCTTAGAAAAAATTGATGTATGTGTCCGTGTGTGTGGATACAAATTTTCATCAAAAAGCATTCGCATCGTATTGATAAGGAGACGTGCTGATTAGTTTTTGGCAAAGGACTAGCTAGCTCTTTCGGAAATATGGGGCAAAAAGTGGAAATTTAATAGAAAAAAGTAAAAAATAGCGCTATTTGCCGGTCAAAAATAAACGTTAGACATATGTATATCGTGTTATCAGATATTTTATAAATATTATAATAAAAAGTACAAATTTTGTGTATATATGGGTTCCGTATCAATGTTTACATGCTAGACGCGGCGCTTACGCGTTTTGATATTTCAACTCCAAATCAGCTAAATGTGCAAAATTTTCCAATAAAATCTAAATACAAAAAATCAAGATATAAAAAACATCATTTTTTCAAAAAAGCGATTTGACTCAAAAATTTCAAGATTTCTCAAAAATCGAATTTTTTCAAAGTTTTGCCAAGTTGTTTTTAACTTCCCGTAGGTTAAGTTATTGTAATGGGCCGAAAATCGGAATTGAAAATTTTCACATTTCTCGACGTTTTGAAGGTTTCTGAACGTTTTGGCATACCTCAGAAAAAATGGATGTGTGTGTGTGTGTATGTATGTACGGGTACAAATTTCCAGTCACGTTTTAGGGCGCACGGATCAACCGATTTGAATGGTTCAAAAAACATTCGATTCCTATTGATAGGGAAAAGAGCTGATTAGTTTTTGGCAAAGGCAGGTCCAGCCATTTCGGAGATACGGAGCTAAATATGTAAAAAATGGCAGTTTTTAAGAGAACTAAGCGTCCGATTTAAATGATTCAAAGAACTTTCTGCTTGTCTTAACAAAATAATTGATTTTGGATTTTGTTTCAATTTTTTTTTTTTTTTAATTTTATGTATATCGAAAATAATTCAGATTTTATTTTTAATTCTGACTATAGTTCTAATATACTTTACAAATAATTTCAACTCTGCAATTCAGTTTATATAATTCTTATAAATATTAGACAATGTTACAATATTTCTAATAATCTATTTGGAAACATTCAGTATTCCTCGAACATTTCGTTACGGTACGGGAAGTTCCAGCAATTTGCCTTAAGGCACGATGCCATAATTGCCTCAAGACAGAATTCCACTTACAGCTAGTTTAATTTAGTTGTCTATACGGAAAGTTCCAGCACCACTAGTTGACTTTTTTTTCCAAATTCGATCTCATTCGATTCAGAATCGCTTAAAACGTCGAAATAATATAAAATTAACACATCGGATTTTCTGACAAAACCATAAATCTCCTTCGGGATGTTTAAAATGTTATATAGATTATGAAAAAATAGGCGTGGTGTCGAATTAGTATTACCCGATTTAGAGGTAGTGTTACCTGATTTAGCAAAAAATACCCGTCGCGATTTCTTATTGAGTTTCATCAAATGACTTTTGAATTTTTGAAATCGGTGCAGCCATTTTTAAGAAAAAGGCGATGGATAGTCAATCTTTGTCACATACATACTTTCCCCAAATTTGGTCTCAAACGATTCAGAATGACTTCAAACGTCGAGAAAACATAAAATCAGCAAATCGGATTTTTTGGTGAAAACAAACCCCTTCGAAAGGTAAAATTATTTTTCCTAATTAGGCTTGATCCTTTAAATTAATTATAACTAATAATTATTAGTGTTGCCCGATTCAAGCGCTAGTGTTACCCGATCAAACAAAACGATTCACAACAAATATTCGTCACTATTATTATTAAATCTTTATCTGATGATAAATTAATCTAAACTAAATAAATTCCGCGAATAGGTTTACATCATTCACAAGATATAAATAATTTGCAATATTTATTTTATCGTTGTCAATTTTTATCTCCGGCAAACAAATAGATATACGACGACGACGACGAACGATTTGATTATTGTGAAAAATGTCATAAGTGTGATATTATATATCAATTTCTTTTGTGCAATACAAAATGTTTATTTGTGCTGTGATTTATTATTGTGGAATTGGAAAATAATAATATTTTGATGATAAGTGTGTTTTTTAATTCGGAACTTATAAAAATATTATAGGTAAGTACTTATCTACTATTTGTTTTATTTTTACGAAGCCATATAAATGTTTCTATAAAGATTTCTAATGTTTTTTATCCTACAGTTATATTTATTGTTTTGTATTTCATATCCATAATTTTCATTATTTGACCATCATTTTATTTTGTTTCCTAATACCATTATTTTATATTACTATTTTTTTATTTTTTTAAATATTGTATGTCATGACTTCACAATTTTATATTTCCTTATATTAATATATTTATTTTAGGATAGATTTTATTCTATAATTGCATTATTCCAGGTTTCCACTATTCCATATTTCCTTATATAAATAAATTTATTTTGCAATACATTTTATTCCATAATTCCATTATTCCAGACTTCCACTATTCCAAATTTTCATATGTTAATATGAATCAATATAATTTTGCAATACATTTTAGTCTATTATTCCACGCTTCCACTATTCCATACTTCCATATATTAAATATATTTCCATAATTTCCATTATTTCATTATTATTTTATTTCATATCCATAATTTTATTATTACATATGTATATATATATATATTATATATATATTATATATATATATATATATATATATATATAATATATATATATATATATATTGTAGTCCATGCTTCCACAATTTCATATTTTCTTATATAAATAAATTTATTTTGCAATAGCTTTCATTCCATAATTCCATTATTTCAGGTTTCCACTATTCCATATTTCAGTATGTTAATATATTTATTTTGCAATAGATTTTAGTCTATTATTTTATTATTTTGCGCTTTTACTATATTCCATATTTCCGTATGTTAATATATATTTTGCAATAGATTTTAGTCTATTATTCCATTTTTTCATGCTTCCACTATATTCCATTATTCCTTCTATAAATATAAATATATTTATTTTGCAAAAGATTTTATTCTATTATTCCATTATTCTAGGCTTCCACAATTCCATATTTTTTTAGAATAATACATTTATTTTGTGATAGATTTTATTTCATTATTCCAAGTTTCCACTATTCCATATTTAGCAATAGATTTTATTCCAGAATTCCATTATTCCAATCTTCCACTATTCTAAATTTGTATATGTTAATATGAATCAATATAGTTTTGCAATAGATTTTAGTCTAGAATTCCATTATTCCACACTTCCACAATTCCATATTTTCTTATATTAATACATGTATTTTGTGATAGATTTTATTCCATAATTCCATTAGTCTATGCTTCCACTTTTCCATATTGCCTTATAATAATACATTTATTTTGTGATAGATTTTATTCCATAATTCTATTATTCCAGACTTCCACTAATCCATATTTCCTTATATAAATATATTTGTTTTGCAATAAATAGCTTTCTATTACTCCATTATTCCACGCTTCCACAATTCCGTATTTTTTATATAAATATATTTTGTAATAGATTTTAGTCTATTATTCCATTATTCCATGCTTCCACTTTCCCATATTTCCATATGCTAATATATTTATTTTTGGATAGATTTTATTTCATTATTCCAGGTTTCCACTATTCCATATTTCCTTATATAAATATATTTATTTTGCAATAGATTTTATTATATTATTCCATTATTCCACGCTTCCACAATTCCATATTTCCTTATAATAATACATTTATTTTGTGATTTTATTCCATAATTCCATTATTCCAGGTTTTTACTATTCTATATTTTCTTATAATAATATATTTACTTTGTGATAGATTTTAATCTATTATTCCATTATTCCATGCTTCCACAATTCTATATATTCTTATATGAATATAATTATTTTGCAATAGATTTTAGTCTATTATTCCATTATTCCACGCTTTCACTATATTCCATATTTCCTTATACAAATATATTTATTTTGCAATGCATTTTAGTCTATTATTCCATTAGTCCACGCTTCCACAATTCCATATTTCTTCATATAAATATATTTACTTTGCAATAGATTTTAGTCTATGACTCCATTATTCCACGCTTGCACTATATTCCATATTTCTATATTAATATATTTATATTAAATATTCCATATTATATATTTTCTAATTCAACTTACTTTATTCAATAGATTTTACTCCATTATCGCACGTTTCCATATTTACTTATTTTTTATTTACTATATTCCATATTTTTATATTACACTCTATATCCCCATAATTCCATTTATTCCATATTTCTTGCTTCTTTAATTTTGTTGTTATCGGAACAAAATAATATATATCATAAACTTCAATAAACTTTATTCCATTATTCCGTGCTTCCATTTTTATTGAATCTGTTTTTTTTTAATATATTCCATAATTTCAACCATTCCAGGAAATATGATATATAACTATTTAAAAAGATTGTCATTAATTAAATTAAATCAATAATAAAATTATTTCTATTTTAAATATATGAAAATTCATTCCATAATTTCAACTATTCCAGAAGTGCAAAATATTACGAATTAGAAAAGTGGATTAAATTGATAATGGAATATATTTAATTATGAAAATATGGTATATAATAAAAATTCAAATTAAATAAAAATGGATTTGTGGAATAATGCAATGTTTATTTATGGAATTATGGATTATGGAAGATTGGAATAGAAATTTTTATCTGTTTTCTCATATTTTATAATTCCAATTACTCCATGAAATACAATAAAAAATAAATATAAAAAATTGAGGAAATGTGGAACATAATAAAAATACAAATTAAAGTAAGGTAAAAATACATACAATTAAAAGTAAGGATGAAATAAAATTCATTGAAAATGATTAAAAACGAAAGAAAAGTAAAATTATGGAAACATTCCATATAAAAAGAAATAATAAATGTTGAACAAAATTTACTTACATTTTTATTTGGTTTTCATCAACAATTCTCATATTATAAATATAATATCTGAAATGAATTTAAAAAAATGTATTAAACAATCATTAATGGAATATAAAACAAAGTAAAAATATGGAATTATGGAAACCTGGAATACAATATAGAAGAAATTGAAAAAATGGAGATACAAAGTAATATATGATATAAAGTTTTAAAGATATTAGCTCTCCATCCATATTTCCATAATACTTCCATAATTCCATATTTCCACATATTTTTCTATTGATATTTTCTCATGCTCTTTGTTGATTATTTATTTAAATTTTATCAAATATCCAATATTTCGCACATTTATTTCATTTCCATGATTCCATTTTACATGAAATATGGAAGAAATTCCATGTTTCCACTATCGTAATAATTAAATTATGTTTTTCATAAATCAAATTAATTTTTATTTTTATTATTTTAGTTTTTACTAATTGGGTGAATAACTTAATTTTTGAGCCAAAATGGGAAATGTTTGCTGTTGCCAGGCACATTTATGGAAAGCATGCTTTACGGACAGGCTTGGAGGTTAGTTATTATTATTATCTAATTTATTATTGCTATTTAAATTTTTAGAAAGATTTTATATCGAATGTTGTTTTAATTATTGCAATCGGTTCAGCAGTTTTTTTTAGAAATTTTATCATTTATATTTTATAGATCTAATATAATATAAGGGCCTATAATTTGGGCGACAATGTTTATTAGAAATGAAAATATAAACAAGTAGTGTATGGCATCGTGCCTTAAGGCAAATTGCTGGAACTTTCCTTACCGTAATGAAATGTTCGAGAAATTTTAAACGTTTTCAAATATATTATTACAAATACTGTAACTTTCATTAATTTTGCTATCTTGTTATATCTGAGCAAATCAAATGTAAATCATAAATCAATTTATCTCCATAACATTAACAATCGTCATTTCATTTCGAATTCAATTTAAAAAAAATAGTTGCCTAATTTACACAAAATTCGAAAAGTGCTCCAGTACATAAACAGTCTAAACGCACTTAGGTAAACATTTGTACCAGAGTGGCGCTTAGACTGTGCTTAGCCTGGGTATTTTTTTGAATTTTTTATCCAAAATTACAAAAATTTTTTATGGAAAATGAAAAAAAATGTAATAATTTTTTTCCTCGAAAGCAATTATTTTGTTAATACAAGCAGAAAATTCTTTGCATAATTCAAATCGGACGCTTAGTTTTCTCAAAAACTGCCATTTTTGCACATTTAGTACTGTATCTCTGAAACCACTGGACCTGCCTCTGCCAAAAACTAATCACCAGTTCTCCCCATTATTACTAATTGAATGTTTTTTAGATCATTCAAATCGGATGCTCCGTTCTCTCAAAAACTCGATTTTCTGTACTCTTTGCTCTTTATCTCCGTAACTGCAGGATTTCGCTATTAATAGGAATCGAATGTTTTTTGAATCATTCAAATCGGTTGATCCGTGCGCCCGAAAACGTGGACAAAAATGCGGGCATACAAAACACACACACACACATCCAATTATCTGAGGTATGTCAAAATGTTCAGAAACCTTTAAAACGTCGAGAAATGCAAAAAATTTCATTTTCGATTTTCGGCACATCACTATAACTACCCTACGGGAAGTTAATAAACAAAACCTAAGGCATTCGAGGACCTTATCTCATATTTCTAAGAATTATATAAAATTGCGCTTATAAGTAAAATATTATCGAAAATTCTTGACAATTCTTGACAAATGGCTTGATATTATTTACTTAGGTAACAAAGTATCAGAAGAAATTCCAATGATCACCAGCAATGGATATCGGGCACCAGTTTCGCCGGACACCAATTCCGGTATGGCATTAACATTTTGCCTTTTTTTAAAACATTAGTTAATTATTTTATTTATTATTTTAGATCACAAGGTTAGTCCCCATGTGGTCGTAGGGCTCTACACCTTCTCAGCCACCGAAGAAAGGGAAATGTCTTTCTCAAAGGGCGATCGTATGATGGTACTCGAGGACTCCGGAGAGGACTGGTTGAAGGTTCAGGATGTTAACGACAAGAAAAAGCAAGGTTTTGTACCCAGGAAATTTTTAGTGGAAGAGGAGAGCCTAGAGAGAGAGGAGTTGAGTAACAAAAACCATCCGCCAATGTATGATCAATATCCTTTGTTTTTTTATTACTTTTGCAGTTGGTTTTTCGGTGCCATCTCCGTCAAAGAAGCAGAAAACGTCTTAAGGTTGGATAAAAATATACCAGGCATATTTCTGGTGAGATACTCCGAAAACAGTCCATCTGGTGTCAGTCTGTCTATCAAGGAAAGGGTTTCCCAGAGCGAATTTAGCGTCCAATCCTACATCATAAACGTCACCGACAACGGCAATCTTTTTCTGGTAAAAGGGCACGAATTTCCAGACTTGAAGGCGTTGATCCATCACCACACAGGTAACTATAGACATCTGATAACAAACTATTGGTGTATGGCATCGTGCCTTAAGGCAAATTGCTGAAACTTCACGTACCGTAATGAAATATTCGAGAAATTTTAAACGTTTTCAAATATATTATTACAAATACTGTAACTTTCATTATTTTTGCTATCTTGTTATATCTGAGCAAATAAAATGTAAATCATAAATCAATTTATCTTCAGAACATTAACAATCGTCATTCCATTTCCAATTCAATTTCAAAAAAAATAGTTGCCTAATTTGCACAAAATTGAAAAAGTGCTCCCGGTATAGTCACAGTCTAAACACATTCGCAAATAATTCTGTGCGACGTTTTCACTTACACTGTGCTTAGCTTGGCGGCATTTTCACATTTTTCATTAGTTTTCGTTTTCACAAAATTGGAAAAGTGCTCCAGTACATAAACAGTCTAAACGCACTTGGGTAAACATTTATACCAGAGTGGCGCTCAGACTGTGCTTAGCTTTGGTCATTTTTTGAATTTTTAATCCAAAATTACAAAAATATTTCATGGAAAATAAAAAAAAGATGTAGTAATTTTTTCATCCCCAAAAGCAATTGTTTTTAGATCATTCAAATCTGACGCTTAGTTTACTCAAAAACTGCCATTTTTTCTCTGTATCTTCGAAATGGCAGAGCCTGTCTTTGCCAAAAACTAATCACCTCTTCTCCCAATCATTACTAATTGAATGATTTTAGATCATTCAAATCGGATACTCCGTTCTCTCAAAAACTCGATTTGTATTTTCTGCACTCTTTGCTCCGTATCTCCGTAACGGCCGGACCTGCCTTTGCCAAAAACTAATCAGCACATCTCCTTATCAATAGGAATCGAATGTTTTTTAACTTCCCGTAGTGCAAGTTATAGTAATTGCAAGAAAATCGAAAATGAAAATTTTGATATATCTTTACGTTTCAAAGGTTTCTGAATATTTTGGCATACCTTAGAAAAAATGAATGTATGTGTGTGTATGTGTATGTGCGTGTGCGTGTACGTGTGTGTGTTCGGATACACATTTTCGTCGACGATTTCGGGAACACGGATGAAGCGATTTGAGTAATTCAAAAAACATTCGATTCGTATTGATAAGGAGACGTGTTGATAGTTTTTGGCGAAGGCAGGTCTAGCCGTTCCGAAGATACTCAGTTTATAAGAGAACGGAGCATCCGATTTTAAAAATTCAAAAAATAAAAAAAAATGTATTGACAAGATGAAGAATTGATCAAATTTTCATGAAGGCAGGTCTAGCGGTTTGGGAGATCTAGTGAAAAATGTAAAAAAATGCCATTTGGCGGTCAAAAATGATCATTAGACAAATGCACATCGAATTATCAGATATTTTATAGAGACTTGAACAATAAGTATAAATTTTGTTTACATTCCTATGGGTTCCGTACCAATGTTTATCCGTCAAACGGCGACGCGGCGCTAACGCGCTTTGACATTTTGACTCTATGCAGTTAAAGCAGTACGATTGCTTTGAAAAAACGTTCAGAATTTCCAAAATATGTATGTCAAAATAGAAAAAACATTTTTTTTTTTCAAAAAAATTTTTTGTTTTCAAAAAAAGTAATTTTTTGTCAAATTTATAGTTTCAAATCTAATTTTCTCGAAGTAAATTTTTTTCAAAAATGTTAATCGTTTTTAAAAAAATAATAATTTTTGGTACGGAAAGTTCCAGCAATTTGCCTTAAGGCACGATGTTCTAATTGCCTTAAGACAGAATTCCACTTACAGATAGTAAAACTTATGTTATAAATATATGAAACCCAAAATTTTTATAAATATATATATATATATAAAAGCTTATGGTATATAATATATATAAAATATATTAGTATATAATAAATATATTATAATAATATATATTATATAAATCCCAATTTTACCGAAATGCATAAAATGTAAAATCTCGCCACTAGATGGCTTTGAATACAACAATTAAATCTTGAACGAAATAAAAAAAGACTTTGCTCTTTCAAATCTTGCTTTATATTATTCCTAGAACACTTTATAAAACACCGATTTATTAAGATTTTTATTGACATTATTTTGTTCATTACATGATTTTCGTTAAAATGTATATTTAAGGAGATATTTGCAAAAAAAAAGAAAAACGCCAAAAATATATGAAAATTTAGTGGCCAGTACCTTGAAAAGTATTAGTTTTTTTGAAAAACTATAAGAGACATTTTTTTCTTATAATTAGTTCTTCTATCGATTTTCGACGTTATTTTGAAAAAAATGTAATTACACAATTGAGAAGGGGTGTCGGAACCCGAATTATATTCACTTTTGAACTTGAGGGTGAGATGAACCTAATTCCAACTAGTTGGTCTGGTATTTAGCCTTGAGGCAAGTTACATGAACTTCCCGATATGTGTAAATAATCGACTTAATCAAAAAAATGTGTAAATAATATACTTCATCAATCCTACTTTAAAAAAAAAACGATAATAATTTTAGCAAAGTCTGACGAATTTTTGAAATTAAACTACTTGTCGTAAGGCCGTAATATTACAGTAAGTTCTATAAGACCATGATGTATATCGCCAAAAAAAGTTCCATGAAAATCGGCTTAAATTTTTTTTTCAACAGTTAATTACAAGAAAACGGCTCGGTAGATTTTCACCTAAAATTAATCAGTACCATTCCCAACTAATATCTTTCGAACAGTTTTTGATTTTTTAAAATTGGTTCGGTAGGATGAGCTTAAATGTGAACTTCACACTTTTTTTCAAATTGCAAAGAAACGGCTTGGCAGATCGTCACACAAAACTGACAAACGATAGTCCTCACCGAAATACATCAAATAGCTTTTAAATTTCTAAAATCGGCTCAGGCGTTTTTGAGAAAACGGCGATCAAAGGTCTAACTTTGACAAATGCCAAAAAAACAATACCAATTTTTGCAAACTTTGACGAATTTTTAAAGATGAACCAGTTGTCGTAGGGCCGTAATATTTTAGTATGATATAGAAGACTATGGTATCTACCGTCAAAAAAATAATCATAAAAATCGTCGAATTTTTTTTTTTTAAAACTTTATTACAAGAAAACGGCCCGGCCGATCTCTACCAAAAACTAATCAGCACGATTCCCAACCAATATCTTTCGAACGATTTTTGAATTTTCAAAATCGATTCATAACTGCGGTCTAAAACGTGGACGAAAGACTTTTCACTTCTCTGCTATTTACGAAGAAACGGTTTGGTCGATCGTCGCACAAAACTGACAAACAATAGTCCTCATCGAGATACATCGAATGGCTTTTAAATTTTTAAAATTGGTCCAGCCGTTTTTGAGAAAACGGCGATTTACGGCAAAAAATCTGTTGGTGCACACGCACACACACACACACACATACTTTTTCCAAATTTGGTCTCATTCGATTCAGAATGGCTTGAAACGTCGAGAAAACATAAAATTAGCGAATCGGATTTTTTGATAAAAACATAAACTTCTCCTTCGGGAAGTTAAAAATTCATGCAATTCGGAGCACAGTAAAAGAAATAAGACTCAAAACTAATGAAGTCTATTATTCCTTTTGTAGGTTCTGAAAATGCAAGTCCAAAGCTAACCCAACCTTGTCACAAGTTGCGACCTCAAATGTACGATTTGAGTTACGAGACTTCGCAGGAAAAAAATTGGGAAATTCCTCTCCAGGATTTGGATATAGGCCAACAAATCAGCAGCGGTAATTTCGGGGTCGTCTACCGGGCCGTTTGGAAAAACAAAACAACGGTTGCCGTCAAAAAACTAAAACAAGACGATGTCGAATCCTTAGAAGAATTCAAGAAAGAAGCTGAAATCATGAAGGCTATAAAGCACGATTGTATCCTGGCTTTGTTCGGTATTGCATCAGGCGACAACCATCTTTTCATAGTGACAGAGTTCATGGAAAACGGTTCCTTGAGAAGCTTTCTACACAAAAATAGAAACAGATTGACCAAAACCGATCTTTTAGACTTCTCCAAACAGGTTTTTTTTATTTATTTATTTATACATATATATATATATATATATATATATATATATACTAGCTGACCCGGCAAACGTTGTTTTGCTAAGTAAGGTATATTCTAAACAATTTCTAGAGAATCAAAAATATTAATACTTTAAGTGTATAAGGATGTGTTACAATGCTTCATACAATGAAGTATTATAAAAACAATAAACCCCATTAGTTTGTCTATATTTCGTCAACACAATCAAACTGGAAGTTTTATACACTTTCTATAGAAAATGTGATATAATCCAATCCAAGTCTTTTTTGGTCTTTTGACTTATTAATTACGTTTCAAGTCTTTCAGATTCTTTTTGGATTCTGTATTTTGTGTATAATTGTAAATAATACTACTGAGCTTATACAAATTTTTCAAATTTCTGCGAGGAGAGATAGAAAATGAGTTAAGTATTTCTTCTTTGACCTGCTTTTTGAAAAGTTTCAAGTAACATTCGATGAATTAAAGTAAATTTAATAAATAGTATATATGTAGAGCAGGGCCAGGCACAAAGGTCCAATTTGACTTTGAGCAAATATAAACTATACTGTGAAAACCATAACAATTATATCACAATAAATAACACATATCAAACGAACAATTATCTGACTACGTTCAGTAAAACTGCCTTCTACTTTATCACTGTAGAAATTTGCTTTTTTATGTCTTTCAAAACTTTGTTATCTAGACCTTTTTACCCTATAGGCGGGGTAACTTGGAACGGCCAGATGGCAAATAGGTTTAATGTCTTATTTTAATTTTAAAGGTATTCTACAAAATAATTACATTTTTAACTAATGCTAAAAAAGTACCAACAGAAGAAAATACTTTTACTATGGATTTTCAAAGATTACCATTTATCTCCCAATATCAAAGTCATAAGAATCAAGGTTATAGCTGGTTATACATCTTTTTCCCTTTATTTTCAAATAATGTTGTTAAACAAAGCTTTAGTTTTACTGATTTTTGATACTTTGGTCGTGGAACTATCAACCCCGTACCTTCATATAATACTATTCATTCTTCGATAAATTCTGGAAAATTATAACTGGGAATAAGTTATTCGAGAAAATGTACCATGTATAGAACCAAGAACTAATATTCTATCACTATATTTAACATAAGGTAGTCGAGTAATTTCAATTAGGCCTTTTTATTGTCCAATCAAAGCACATTTGCGGATAATATATATGCCAATTAGTTGTAAACACCTGAAACATTTTATATGTATAAAGAAATTATAAATTAACAACAATTAATATATAACTATTTACATTTTTATTACAAATTTTGAGGTTATGTTAAGAAACTATATTTCAAAATTATTTTTGGTTATTTATTTGTCGATGATTATACTTATTGCTGCTTTTTAGAATATAAAAACCTCAAATATTCTATTTAAATACGTATAAACAAATATACATAAATACCTAAGTATATAAATAATTACATTCCCATTGCCAAGAAATACATTTCTCCATCGTCCATCTGACATCGCTTGCTATTATTAAGAATTAATTTACTTGCCACTTCGTAATGATTTTCCGTGATGATTAAAAAATTTATATTATTCACGTAATAATTTTCCAAAAATGATGATTAAAAAATGCATATTAATATATTTGTTTCAAAACGGAAACACCGAATGACAGTTGACAATTGAAAGTAAATGTCATAAACTGAATGGATATTTAATAAATAATTAATTTTGAATTGGAATGAAAAACGGGATAAAAAGTATTTCATATGTTTC